CCCCCCCCCCCCCCTAACACAAGCGTCAGCTGAGGTTTTCTATGCCTGTGTCGACCACCAGCCCCCCACGGACGATCTCCACAGTCACCCTTATTTAAAAACAACCGTACGATGTCTGTCCCTGGGCCTACAAGACAACGACGAGTGTTCTTTGGCAAACCGTGCACCAACCTAAACACAAGTAGACAAAAAGATAGGAAGCTCGGTGCTCGACTACGTGGTCTACGACAGGTAGGCCCACAATAAAAATACACTCCAGAGGGATCTAGGAGAAAGTGTCTTATACTTGTACACGCTGACTCAAAGGCCCTTCGAATAGCTGCTACGAGGGTCGCGCAGAGACAGTGAGTAGCACCCTTAGCACGGGGAGCGCTGGCGCAAAACGCTGAACGATTGCGCCATGTGGATGACTACAAACGCGTTGTCTCTCTCCTATCTCTCCTTCCCCCCCCCCTTTCTTTACATCTCTCTCTCTCTCGGTCTACGTCTCTCCCTCACGCGTAGAGGACTTTTCGAAAGCACACATCCCCGCAAGCTGGTCATCCTCTACCTATCAGTTACCCCGGAACAAGCATAGGAACCCGATCGCACCCACTAACATCTCTGTGCGGAAGAAATCGGCCAACTTTCAACGGATACACAAGATACATGTACATTTGCGTGGCTGAGGTCGGTAACGAAACCAAAGCTACAAGGAGAACTCATCCTTGGGATACCGAATCCGCATCGGCGAGTCTATCTCGCGCACGGCGCCCCCACGCCTGCTCTCCATCTGCTGCTGGTATATCGGGTTCTGCCAAGAATGGGACATGTCTTCAGCGCCGTCGGCGCCGCTCACGCCCCTCCACTGGGTGCTTGGCCTGGACATTGGAAGCCCGCGGCGGCCGTCTCCCTTAAACCTACCAAGCGCCGCGGTCGACGGGGAGGTCACGTCCACCACGGCCGCGGCGGCGTGGTCGCGGGTCGGCGGGGCCGGGAACTGGTTCATGAGGCTCTCGATGCTCCCGAGGAACCGCTCGTCCATGTCGGTCGGCGTGAGCTTGAGCGAAGACTCCCGCATGTCCAGCCACTCGGAGGGTTGGTGGTCGTGGTGGTGATGTGGCGTCGTGACTTCCTCTCCTTCCTCCCGATCTGGGCACTGCTGCTGCTGTTGCTGCTGAATCGTCAACTTCTCTCCCTCTGCCGACGGCGGAACGGAGGCACTGTCTGCTTCCCCTGGGTTCCTGCTGCCAAAGCTGGCCTCGCCGCCGCCGCCGCCGCCGCCGCCGGAAGACATCACCCGCGAGTACGAGCCGCCTCGCTTCAGGGACGCAGGGGAGGATGACTTGACGCGCTCCTTGCGCACCGACCGGTGCTGCCGGATGAGGGCCAGGTGCTCCGAGCGAGACGCGTCTGGCGGCAGCTTGGACAGACCCAGGAGCCTCATCGCCTTCGAAGAGGAACCCGAGGACCCTCGAGCCTGAGGAAAATATCGGCAAAGGTTGAAACAAACGAGGAACAGCAAGATTATGGCTCAAAACGGGGCGGGGTTGAACGTGATGTTGAGCGACACATCATCCCCAGATGTCTACAAACAAGGCTCTGGCGCTCGAGATAAATATCGTCGTCAGGTGCCTGCGAATACCCCTTCGAGTCGTTGTCGTTCGATGTCTTGGCTCCTTGTCCCTCAGGAAGGGGTTGAGCTGGAGCTTACCGTAGCCCCTGTTTGTATCTATCGCAGACGCAACGTGGTTATGGTAGGTATCTGCAATATACTGTGCACACCACACTGATATGGTGGAAGTCTTTCCCCTCGATATACCTCGACTGCTCTCTTGCAGGGTCTTATTTGTCCAGAGAGCCGGGAGTGGGTCGTCCAGATTGTGTGAATAGTTACCACCACTAACCAGTAGGGCCGGGGTGCAGCGGGGGAACCACCTTTTTAAAGCTTTACCTTTGTCTCGAATGCGTGTGTTTTGTGGTGCGTACGCAAATATGCGTTCGGCGGTATACCGTCGGTCTTGCCTGCCGTTCAAGTGTTGGTGGAGCGATCAACACCTTACGACAGACTGGCTGGGTTGAACACGAACCGTGTTGGCGATGCCGAAACCATTGCTGTGGGTGGATCCATAGCTACACCGCATCCAAATTGTGCGTCTATTTCTCCCGGTCCCCAAGTTGTAACACTCTCGGAATTTAACCGGTCCCGCAGGGCGTCTCTCGTTCTCCCTGCATTGACGTCCCCTTCCCCGCACAATATGTACAGTTGGCCATAAATTTCTTTTTTTACTCGCTAGTCCTTCGTAGCATGCTCCGGGTGAGTGACGCACAGCGCAATCACCAAGAAAAGAAAGTCTGATATTGACGGAGCGAGTGGCCGTCTCTCCTTTAAGGAGGATCCCGCTGCGAATTATAACGTGGCCGTCGTTTCGTTGTCTGCTGTTCACGTTTTGGTCGTCTTGAGAGTTGCCAGCGGCGTGGATTAAGCTCAACCATATGTACATTCCCATTTGTAGTTTTGGTAATGCTCGTCTCACTTGTACTGCTGTAGTATGCATACTTAAAGCAGTACATATCCGGCCCAATCAGGGTATGCCCGGAGGGCGCAACGATTCCGAAGTTAGAAAAGGATCTGCTCTTTCAGGGCACATGTCGTAGCATGCAAGCTGCGTAATACATGCATATAGACAGCCAGTCACAGGTGGGGGATGTCAAGAGCTCATGAAAAAATTACACGCACATTTTGTCGATTTAAGGGTACCCGGACAACCTCCTGCTATGTTGCCTAATTTCGAAAACAAACGCAAGAGCGCCAGAAAATGCACTAGAGACACATAAGACCAGTCGGAAGGCATCGCAAAAAAAACAAGTCCAAAATTCTGGCACAGGGCAGCAGTAGAGACCGCTCAAAACGTGCTTTTCGCGCGTCTACCTCCACACGCATCCTTTGAAACCAAGATAAAAATCCACACCAGTCTAAATTCAAGTCAAAAGAGCCCAAACGGAAGGCGCTCAAATAAGGCCGGTGTTGCTAGGAACCTGGTCCATTGTACCAATATCACTAGAGGACACCCTATAGCAGCGGGGGGGTGTGTTGGCGCGCTCAAAACTTCTTCTGTGGTGGTGGTATCGAGTGTCGTTGTAGTGGCCCACAATCTCCGCAAATCTCCGCAAGTTAGATCGACACCCAGTGTCTTGTACTGCTTGTGCTCGCCGCCACTGAACCCAATCTGCTGAACCGCAGGTTTACAGCAGTAGCTGATGCCACCAGCTACTGCTGACAACCCGCAGTTGAGGGGTTTGCGGTCCGTGGTGGTGAGCACCGCTGTGACAAGTGTTGGGTTCCGCTTGGTTCCGGCGCAGATTTCGGACCGTTTTCAGAGGCTGCTGCGACCTTCGATATTTCAGCCCCAGTGGTATACCTGAACGTGCCAGCACGCACGACGCCTCTTGATATCCTCTACTGATACTAGCACAACGGACCAGGTTCCTCCGGCGGGAAGGTTGTTTTCTTTCTTTGTACTGTTATAAAGTATGAGAAAAGAGCCAGCGTCAAAATCCCTTGTCTGGGTACCCTTAAACCCTCCTCGGAAGAACTACTGCTGTACTGCTGTACACTGCAGTACCTCACTCAAATAAACTCAGACCTCTATGTAACAAGCGGCGTGCATTCGCAAACTGCTGTAGTGCCTCAAATCTAAATAGTAACACGCTGTGTTCGATGGTTGAAGTCTTGTTTTACGACGCCGCCCTCTCCCTCTGTCTCTGTCTGTCTGCCTGTCTACCTCTCCGTCTCTCGCTCTATCTATCTGTCTGCCTGTCTGTCTATCAGCCTCTTGAACCCATAACGGTTGTTGGTGAAGCACTCTGTGGTGACTGCTGCACATCCTGCTGTAGCATGCATGCTGACGCTCACAAGACATCCCGTGTACCTACGACTTTCGTAGATCCTTCTACCACAACGGGTGATCCGTCCGTCTCAATCAGGGTACAGACGGCAAAGCCAGAGAAGATGCATGAAGAGCCGTTTTTCTTCGCCGCCAGGGAGATGCCGGACTTAGTTTCGGGGTCACAGGAGGCGGAGGCCCTAGCGGCGCGCGACTGGCGATCTTTCAACGGCGCGCTCGACGGATGTGCCAGTACATGTCGTTCGCTTCTGTTTTTTCGCCCATGCCAACACAGCGCCGGTTTGGACCGGGGAAATGCACACGCCCATTCCAGATCTCTCACCTCTTCTTGAGAGCTTTCCATGGTTGTACTCGTGTTCACCAATCTGGCGAGCGTCTTCTCGACTGATCTGGCGAGCGTCCACTCCAAATGGGTACCCCTGATTGGACCGGCGGCCCCAAAGCCCACAGGTAGGTGGGTTTGTCCCGAGCCGTACCCTTGGATCAGCGGGTAATGCGAATGCGAAATGTTGACGTCTGCACCACCCGAGTAGCTACGACTCGTCCTATGGACTGGCCAGCAAACTACGTCGGCAGGTTTGTGTATGCTGATCAGCAATGTTCTGATGGCGTAGCTTGCGAGCTGTGGACACCTGCCTTGTCCAGGATTGCAAACAATCCAGTCATTGGCATCACAGCAGCATCATACCAGAGAGTTCGCTCGCACAATCGCGATGATTCCGCCGCAAAAATGTAACCGTCGGATGCTGGAACGCTTCGCGACGACACGCCCCAAGCTAAGCTACCGCTACTTTGGTACACCTTGGGGTATACGCGAATCTGCCGCCACTCTCGCGAGTCAACCAGCTGCGTAGACATATAATATGCTTGCAGGACAAGGTTAAGGCCTGGGTGACAGACGCAATGGAAGCGCCTTCGCGCCAAAGGCGTGTCGAGAGCGCGGCTGGTGGTTCCACGTCGCGACACCGACTTCACTCCAACGACAGCAACGATGACGACGACATTGATGGGAATCGCCCTGCACCCGTTCGTCCCTCTACGCATCGCGCCACCAAATCAACCCCACGTGCGGCGGTGGAGGCCGCAAGGCGACTCTCTGTGGACCCCGTGGACGAGCGAGCCATGGGCAAAGTTCGGTTGGAAGTGGAAGCGCTTCGGGATAAACTGAGCGAGGCGGACTTAGCCAAGGCCCATGCGCAGGTGCATGTTACAGTAGTAACCTTTTCACAGATTGGTTGCTACTTGCCGTAATTTGCAAGTTTTGGAACAATTCGTATCCGTGTGAGGTATGTTTGCGTCGAACGCCGGTGGTCTTACAGAGATCAACACCTTGAGGCAGGTGTGATATCAACAAGAGAGCAAGCTTGCAACGAAAAACCGCTGTCGTCGCAATCTTGCAGCATCGACTAGACTACTACAAGCAGTAATTCGAACTTGATTGTATTGATGCGCAAATGCATTGTATGGATTCATGCGAATAGGTTTTCGAGGAGACAGCCCATTACATTCAAGCGTTTGATAGATTGCCCGTCTATGGGCGGTTCTCGTTTTTGACTCAGGTTCAATTGCAGCGGCAAGGCGCCGACATGGCCAAGCTGGAGCGATACATTGGCCAGCTGACGGACGAACGGGGGGGCGTTGATACTTGTGTGCTGGAAAGCATCGTCAAAGACATCGAGAGGAGTTCACGAATGAAGCACGCCATGAAGCAGGCGGGTTCTTGAAACATACTTGCTTGCGAGCGACGCTCGATCAATTGAGCGCCCAGATGCTCAGTAAAGTGAAAAAAAAAACGTATTTTCGTGCGCTCCTCCGTATGCTAATGTAAGCACGATACCGGTCGCTCTCTCTATTACTTTTGTCCGACAACGTCTTAGGGAGATTGTTGAGTGATGTGAGAACTTTTCACAGCGTAGAGCAGGCCACACCGGCAGCAACCTGATTTCGCGGGCAAGTTAGTCCGGTCTCCGCTCAGTACCTTCAAATGTTCGTACTGGTCCAACTGACGCGAACGCCTTCCGTGGTCACACGCCAGCTGCCCCCAAAGGGGCACCTAGAAAATAAACAAATAAATATGTACTAGTAGTACACCAGAAAGGTCTTAAAAGGCGCGATTTGCTTCCCAAGCAAATCAACGACTTTTCATACAAAGTTGACACCAATTGCAAAGGGTTATATCGTATCTCATGTTGGCGTTCGCAAATACACACGCGTATAGGTGGCAGACCTCAAGGCCGACCTCAGTCTCAAGGAGAAGCAGGTCGCCGCGCTCCGTAAGTCACAAGCCGTCGAGTACACCCTGAAACTCGCAGAGGAGAAGGAGGCGCTTCAAGTCAGGGTCGAGCAGCTCATCGCGGAGTCGAACAGCAAGCACGACAGCGACATCGGAGGCCGCACAACGTCGTTCAATTCAACTTCGTCGTCGCAGAAAGAGCAATCAGCGGCCTCAAACGAGGCTAGCCTGACCGAGCTGGAGAGACTGCGAGCGCAGAACTTGAAGATGCGCAAGGAATCGGCGCGTCTTCGCGCAGAACTGGAA